TTTTTTTTCAACTATGGAAGATACACCTTCATAGGGGGCATTTCCATACTTAGTTGTTGCTGTTGTTAGGTGTCATGAAGTCAGTTCCAACTCATAGCAACCCTATGAAAAACATAATGAAACACTGGTTGGTCCAGTGCCATCCTCAAAATCATTGCCATATTTAAGCTCATTGTTAGAGCCACTATGTCAATCCATCTCACTTAGTGAGGGTCTTCTTTTTCTCTGACCCTCCACCTTACCAAGCATGCTGTGGCTATGAGTCCAGTTCGACTTGATGGCGCATAACAACAACAACAACCTGATAACATGCCCAAAACACATGAGAGGAAGTCTCACCATTTTGGTTACCTAGTGCTGCTCTGACAGGAATATACCACAAATGGGATGGCTTGAACCATCCCATCTTACAGTTTGGAAGCTTTAAGTCTGTCCATGTTCAAAGTGCCAGTGTCTAGGGGCTGGGTGAAAGCCCCTCAACCTTGGGCTTCAGCTCTACCTCCTGTTCCCAGCCCACTGAATCTGGAGGCTTTTCTTCACTCAGAGAACTGCTGGCTGCTGAGGCTGACAAACCCAAGGTCAACAAGGGAAAAGGCACAGTTCTGGTATCACCAAACAACATGGCAGGCCACTAATTCAAGTCCAGAAAAAGTCTTAAGATCAGCAGAACATGGAAGGCTGTGGGACAATGACTTGGTTACTTGCAGGGTTCAAGCATGCCAAAAAGCTAGAGACCATTCCCAAAGTGGCTTCTTATATACGAAAATAAGACCATATCACTAAAGCAGTTACTCGGCTGCTTGTGGCAGATCCCACCATGGAGTTGATTGCCAGTATCATCATGGGGAATAACTACCACCAAATGCCCAGCCACTCAACCAGGCCCAGCCAAGTTGACACACAAACTTAACTACCACACCATCCTTGCTTCTAAGAAGTATTCTGGCTATACTTTTTCCAAGACAGATTTGTTCTTTCCTCTGGCAGTCATGGTATATTTAATAGTTTTTGCCAACACCATAATTCAAAGGCATCGATTCTTCTTCAGCCTTCCTTAATCATTTGTCCAGCTGTTAAATGCATATGAGGTGACTGAAAATATCATGGCTTGTGTCAGGAGCACCTTGACCCTCAAAGTAACATCTTTACTTTTTCACACTTTAAAGAGCTCTTTTTGCAGCTGATTTGCCCAATGCAATATGTCATTTGATTTTTTGACTGTTGTTTACTTGGGGGTTGATTATGAATCTGAGTCATGATGTTGTTTATTAGAACAGTTATGAGGACTTTGTTTTCTTTATGTTGACATGTAATCCATACTGAAGGCTATAGTCTTTAAAATTTAGTTTAAATCCTCTTGAATTTTAGCGCAAAAGGTTGTGTCATCTACATATTGTAGGTTGTTAATAAATCTTCCTCCAATCTTGATGCCACATTCTTCTTCATATAGTTCACTTTCTCAGATTATTTGCTCAGCATACAGACTGATGGGTTTGGTGAAAGGATACAACCCTTATGCATACTTTTCCTAATTTAAAACCATACAATATTTCCTTGTTCTGTTTGAATGACAAGTCTATACACAAGTTCTGCATCAGCACAATTGGGTGTTCTGGAATTCCCATTCCTAGCAATGTTATCCACATAATTTATTATGATCCACATATGCATTTGCATAGTCAATAAAACACAGGTAAACATATTTCTGGTATTCTCTGTTTTAAGCTAAGATCTTTTAGACATAGGGTTTTGTAATGGAAAACTAGAAATCTCTAGTCAATTCTTATTTCCTATAGCTCTCCAGAAGATATGATATCCAATTAGGGTAAATAGAAATTCAAATAAATTAGGAATGGAGTAGGAGCTTAACAATAATAATTTGCTTTATTTTATTTATT